CGAGAAAATAATCCATTAAAAACAAAAAAAGTAAACAATAACAAAAAGCACCGCCCCACCACCCCTCCCCATCAAGTCATCATATACTAGGACACCTCCCTAAAGCTGACTCCTACAAAATACGCTCCCTTCTGCAAAAGCTTTTTAATTGATGAAAAAGGCCCCAGAGAAAGCCAGAAATGATGGAGAAGCATCAGTATGCCATTAACGGAGCAGATTCTCCATTAGAAATTCACAAAGGAATAGATAATTATGAAGAAACAGAAGCGATAACGTCAAGCAAGTGCCTTGGAAGCTGGTATGAGAAAATGCTGACAATAAAGAGATCTACGAAGATTAACAAGGCAAATTTCTCAGCTGCAATTCTTGGAGAACTAGTCCTCACTGAGAAGCTGAAAACTACCAAAAAAGTAAAGAAATTCTTTAGCGACACGATGGCGAGCTTACGATAGTATTAGCCTTCTTACACGGTACTATGTACATACGAGGAGAACACGGTTAAATACTCAGCGATCGGCTGATACTATCTACGTGAGCGAAATAGATGAGGGATTGAATGGTTTCAATTGATGCGTTCAGCGAAGAAATGTTATGGAAAGATATTCCCGTCGTCCCGTGAAATTGACTTGTGGGAATTCAGTTTGGACGACCAGGCCGATGGGAAATCAGAGTGAAACTGTTTCTCACAGGTATTTCTCGGAGTAATAAGTATCGGACCAGGGATAAATATAGGATAGTCGTGAGATCGTAATAACATACTGGCCCAGGAACCTACCGGCGTAGATGTGATTGATGGACATGAAGAGTGAAAGCGGTCTACCATGCGTAGCCTCCCGTACCGCAGTCCATACGCATTTTCAATCGATTAATATATTTTCAATTAAACCGAATGCTTTCGTTACACTTAGGAGATCAATAAAAATAGGTAAAAATAATTTTTATTAAGAATTCGAAATGATGCCAAAATCGTGGGCATTCTTGTCAGATTACAGAAAACCAATGATTTACAGCGAATTGTTAGGATTCCACAGGTGGGAGGAGGCTTGGGATTACTCTAAAATGACTAATAGCGAGCAGGGATATGTCGGGAAGATTCTAGAACTCAGCTGTTCTAAATCAGTTGAGTGTAGATTTATGAAGTCAATAATTATACTTATAAAGCCAACTGCTCGTCACTTGCTCTCTCATTTGTTTATTTACTTATTTATTTATTTCCTTGTATATGCTCGTTTGGGCGCATCATTCATGCTTCAGTACATAACAACAGCGAGCATGAAGGCTCAAACAAAAATTGAGTAAAGCCAGAAATAACACTCAGCTACATCCCTGAGCGGAGTAAGCGCTACCAAAGTAAGTAGTTTGAAGTAAAAATGACTGGAATGAAAGAAAAAAGTAAAAAAAAATAAAACAAATAAACATTTGTTTTGACTTCATGTTTTATTTTGTGAGACAAATAAATATATTTATGCACATACTATGGATAAAGTGTGACAGTCACCTGAAAAAACGTTTTCGAACGGAACAACAGTCAGCTGACGAAAATGAAACTCACTTGCTTTCAAAATTGACTGAAAATATTTTTCTGTCATGATGACGACGTAAAGGCCGAATGGGGGCTGTTACGAAAAAGTACATGTACAAGAAAGCTCATGTGATTATTCCGATGGGAAGTGAAAAAAAAAACAAGCAATCACGATAAGAGTGGGGGAGGTGGGGGAGGGGGAAAGGCCTGGGAAAGAAAGAGGAAAACAGTAGAAGTAATAACAATTGCAAATGTACCTGATCCCAAGAATTTCCTGATTGGATTGAGAGATGACGGTTTTTATTTCGAAGGATAGATCCAGGAAGTTTTGGAGTTCCGAAGTTATTTCGCCTTCACATGAATCTGGGACACTTAACATGAGAGGGGTATATAAGAAGTGAGATTTCATTTCACATGAAATGGCTGCTTCGTTCGATATCAAGCAGTTGTGTCATCGAACATCGACTGTGACGGCCCAGATCCAAGAGATCAGTCTGACAATCACATCTGTTCAACTTTACAACGCACCATGCTCTCGACTAACACTTAAAAATTACGAGCTGTTTGATTTGGCTTACTCAGTAACTTCCTCTTTGCTTTATTTTCGAAAAAGGCTATTTTTGATTCACTTAAGACGTTCGTTTATTTACTTACTTAATTACTTATTCGTTTTTTATCTATTTATTTATTTGTTCATTTGTTTAATACGTTGTATAAGACAACGTTAAAAACAAAACACATTACACAACTCTAACATCGTTAGACACTGTGATGAATAGAAAGACAACTAGAAATGGACAAATGACACCAATTCTGCATTTTATTTATTTATTTACTTATTTATCTATTTATTTATTTATTCAATACGCCATGTGAAACAACGCGAGAAAAAAGAATGAAATAAGAAAGCGACCACTCAGCAAAATGGAAATAGAACTTTTAAACACTGCAACTAGACAAAAGGCTATATACACCTATGCTGTAGAATTCGTTTTGCTGCAAACCGTTCAGATTTGAAGCCACAAGAGCCTTTGATGAATATGAATTTAGTGATATGCAAATATGACAGTCCATCCCTAACAGCGAATAAATTTCGCCTTTCGGTGTTTCCAAGCCCTTGAGTGGATAGTCTGAATTAGCTGTGAATTTAGCTATTAAACACAGGAGATAGCCTGAGAATCACTACATCTTGTGTATCTGACAAGGCCACAAAAAAAGACGAGTTCCCCTTGTAAACATAATCATTTTTGCATCAAAGAACGGAAATAACTGCTCTACGTGGGGTCAAAGAAGGAGAAAAAAAACAGAGTAGAAATACTATTCAAGGGCAGGTGCAAAGTTCGATAATGCCCAGAAAGAAGTGGGGGTGGGCAGTAAGATGCAACCCTCATCCATTCCCTCTAGGACAGAATACAACCCCATGATTTTTTCCTTCGTCAAGTGGTTACCTACTCCCGGAGGTTAAACCCTCCTATTGAACTCCAAATCGAAAAAATTGAAAGCAGAACGCAAACTTAGAAAAAAAGAACTAAATAGTGATAGCAGTAGCAATATAGTATCATGAGTAGTATAGCGTATGAAAGATTTTCGAAGTGGAAGAACCCATCTGACATCCATGAAAGAGGATAGCAACGATTTGGAAAGGTAGTAAACAGCTATAAGAGCAGAATCCAAATGATGTTATTCGACAGAATGCTAGGGATGATCACGAGCTAACAAACCCTATTTATTTAATAACGTGATCTGCTCAGGCGGTTTTGATAATGTTCGCATTTGAACACATCCCCATGGATTATGGGGCGGAACAATGGATGGCACCAGCTGCGGAGAACGAAAAACAGCCAGTTTTCGAAATTGAACTGGTAAAAAATCGATTATTGGATGGGAATTGGGAGAGCGCGTGTTGAATGTGGAAGAATTCTAAAGCTGCGACTGAAAAACTATTCTACAACTAGAGGAAGGTGAGAGGCAACAGAGAGAAGTTTGGCCACCTTGTTTCATTGGATTCCAATAGCAATTCGCGTGGGAAGTAGCATATTGGAGGACCCTTGAGAAAATAGTGGGTACAGAATAAGTAGGTTTATTCCTCTGAAAAGCTACCGTTGTGGGATAGGTCTATAGGAATTTTTGGCCATCCTACTAGGTCATACTTGCTGACACTAACGGTAATTTTGTGACCTTGAAAGATCTTTGCTTAATTAGAGGATATGAATAAATTGCGTAGGAAGAGCTCCTGAAACTGATGAATACCACCATCTTGGAGCAGTTCACAACGACTGACGACAGTGAATGAGTGACGATATGAGGTGAGGCCGAGTCGCCTGTGTCACCTTCTAACGGTGACGAACTGGCGAATGTTCCGGCAATGAGGGCGTTTGTTGCTGAATGTCATCGAAAAAGACGAGGTGACATACAGTCACATCGAGGCAACATCGCCTTCATGCATGACTACACATTAATGGGCTGAGGCTATTTCCCTTTCATTTCACCTACTTTTTTCAAAATGTCAGATCGAACAGTGCCGAAGACTGTTAATAGCCCGCTCCATGAGTTGTCTACTATCGTTACTGCACCTTTCCTCAAATTTTCATCAGCTTTCTAGCTCACCCGAGCTTTTCCAGGATTTTGATCGAATCTTTCTTCAGATAGCCAGCTTTGACAGAAATATGCTACCTAGATATTTCACCAGTTTGTAATTCCCGATCATAATCATGGTAGAAGGTCACAGCACCCATTGAACACTAAAGACTTCAGAAACAAGGGACCTCTTTGGGATCAAGTCCTACCTACTCAAGTATCTTATCAATAGATTGGTGGGAAATTTTGCACCAGAGTGGAATTGTGTTGAACTTATGGTGTTATTGCCATTGTTGTATTGCCGTGTATTCTCTGTACTTTATTTATTATATTAGACACACTACGGAGTTAATCACATAATATAGTAAAGGGCTCACCGACACAAAAACGAGCTTCGGTTGAAGCGTACAAAATAACTTTTATTGTTTTCTGAGTAATTGGTCAATAAATCAATAACGATAGAAACCATGTCGTGCAGACTCCATGTTCTGTTTATAGTAGGTGGATAGATCAATGCTCTTGCTTTTCTTGTCTTTGCATCAAAGGTATGAAGTGTTTCTCTGCTGCTCCTCGGATTTCGTTGTAGAAACAGCGTTTCATACTCTCGAATCTGTAAATTCACAGTATCCCCCAGACGAATATACAAACTCGGTTTTACCTTACTCATCAGGGAGGCGCAAACAGCACAACAGCAAAGAGCAGAACAATTAACCCGACAATAAAACCAGAAAAATAGCTGGATATCACTTCCTTTTCAATCCTTTTTTTGCATCTACATTCCCTTACTTATTATTCATTGTATCATGTCGGCTTTTCAAGAGGGCCATATTTCCGAAAAATACGATAACACGAACAGGATATAAGCGGTTGTACTGATTTGGTGGCAGAAGTAAAGAAGACCTTACCTATCATAGCATGGAGCATAGCTGTAGTCGATTGGGGTATAGTGATCGGGTCTTTGATCACAGAATGTTAGACACTTGTCACCGGCTGATGAGCCACTCACGCCATTGTTAGAGCAGCACTGGAAACATTCTCTCTGATTAGTTGGGAAAAAAGTAACTTATTGGAGTATAAGCCTTCCCAGAGGCTTTTTGAAGAGTAGGAAAATATTTTTGTTTATGAAGCCCAGCCTCCTCTTGGATAGCAGGGAGCATTTAAAAAGGCGTTTTCTTTTTGAGGGAAAGTTGGTCGGGTGAGTGGACAAGAACCCTAATCTCTTTAATGCACCTAGATGTAGATCAGAAAACTATTAGGTATATAGTGTCGTTCTTTTACCTTTCTATGATCCATTCCTTGGGCTGCACAGAACTGCATCTCGGGCAGGAAATCTATGGGGCACTCGTCTGTACCGATGAACATGGCTTCCAGCTGAAACATTCGAATTACTAGCAAAGAAATCAAAGACTTCTCAGGAGTTGGTTCAGCGCAGTAAGGTGAGACTCTCTTCAGTAAAAATCGGTCGATTACGGTAGACCGTTCCCTGCCAGGATATTACATTTGAGCTAAAGTAGATGGTGCGCTCACCATGGAACATATTACAGGAAGGGGTAAAGTCAGTTGAAGCATCCCGATTCCCAGTCTATTATTCAGCAGTGCCTAACCGAAAAGTGTTCGATGGTGCTTGATTGAAACCACTCGAATATACCATTCTAGAGAGCTCGTAAAACCTACTAGGCTTGCTTGGTCCGCCTCAGATGTTACAAGAAAAGTGCAAAATATCCCTAAACTCCATATTGGCATGATTTCAGAATGCCATCGCAGCCGACTCTGAAATAACCCACCGCTTCTTTTTCGTAAGTATTGAAGTGGCACTTTCGAACGCATGCAGCGGGTAGACGACGTTCTTCACAGCAACTGTGGAACAGGAAGTTCGGATTCTTGAAAAAAAAACTGTTGACTTATTGAGAGATGATGAAGGAGAACCAGATGCTGGTGCCATATTGAGACTGACCGTGTACCGTGCAATATTGGACCTATTCAATTTGATATCGGTCTGGTTCCACAACTTTAGCCCGAAGATGTTACCGTCGTCACGATCGTCTTCTTCCACGGTATCGCCGCTCTGGGAATAGAGTCCTTTTTGGAAAATAAACTTTCTACAAATATTGAAAGGGAATACTCCTCACGCCATTAAATTTTACCCGCTGATCACCCTTTTTGTTTTCTTTTTACTTTCCACTCAGATAAAATAGTAATTAGCGGTTACTCTCTCTTGTCACTCATCGTTAAAGGCACAGTTCACGATAATAATGGTTTCCCTTTCGTCATAATCTAGATTACCCAAAATTATCGTGAACTGTGCCTTTAGAACTCTGCAGGTAAGCCAACTTAGTACCTAGACTCATTTTCAAAAATCCGAAAATCTCGAACTTACGATATGATTTGTATTGGCAGCACGAGCCTTCGCCTTCGCCCGACACCCACAACATCCGCAGGCTCCGTTGGATCTACACTGCAACGGAGAAAGGCAGACATTTCTAACCAAACCTGGACACCTACAGAGTCAAGCACTCACCGCTGTGGTCGCGACAACGAGGGCTAGAACGAAGGCCAATTTGAGCAACATGGTCGCGATAGGATTGGCGATTTGTCGCTTCGCATTTATATGTCGCGACGATTACGGATGTGACTCGACTGAAGAGGGTGTTGTGGCGGTTGTTGAAGCGAGTAAGCGCCTATTCGAGTAATTACCTGCCTATATGAGCTGGACATACTCGAGCTCTTCAAGAAGATCCGTTTGATTCGCTATAAAACTTCAACGATGGGACAGAATCGCCTTCGACCACTCAGTGATGATCGCTATTCTCATCGTTCTTCTCTCGTTGGCTCGTCACCTGAACGCGGTTTGTTTCAAGAATCTCGAATCGTGAAGTCTTTTAATGTTTCCCACACTTCAGTGTAGCGGAGGATCCGGATGCTGTGTGATGAGAGCGGCTCATCCGCCCATAGCCAGCTGTGGAAGCGGGTGTCAGCAAGGATATCAGTGTGGCACTTATGGATGTACAAAAAGGAAGGCACTTTCTGCACTGACCGCTAGGATAGTACGTTTTTGTGACAGAGTCATCTGGAACTCTGAAAACGGGAATCCCGGTCTGCTCACTGCTCGTAGCGATTCCTAGTTAGTTGACTCGCAGTGCGCTATGATTGGATTGAGGCATCCCTTTTCCCCTTTTCAAACATGACTGGACGGGCTGCTAACACGGGAATCCCTACCATAAAAAATAGCCATTGCAGGATGGTGTAATAGTGGGAGACGACAACGCCGAAGAAGCTCACACTCCACCTCTCGACTCCAATTCAGTCGTTGTCGCCACAAACTTCACGAATGATAAACTTAAGGTAAGCGAAAGATCAGACAAATAACAGAAAGGACAGGTAAGGGGAGTGAACGCAACGTTCTGAGTTGCCCTGTTTCAGAATCCAAATTTCATTTTCCGTACATGTTGCGAAGCCAGAGGTCTTCCAGACGCTTGCCTTCGATATTGCCACTTCAACACCTACACTGCCCACACGGTGAGATTTTTGGGAGGATTCGGAATAAGGTTGATCAGACAGATAAAGATCATTTTGGAAAGGCCTCCCTACATACATGAACGGAAGTAACTGTTAACCTTAGCTTGAGTAGCGAAGCAATAAGCGCTGTCGCACAACCAAAGAGTAGTTCTTTTCTAGTTGGAGCAAATGTTTTACAAGAACGACGCCTGTCCTCTCGAAGCCGCTCATGAAATGCATTACTGTGCAGCTCAAGGAATGGACCATACACAGGTGAGCAGCTTTTTTCCTGACTTTCGTAAAGATATTTTCAACGGAGGATGGAGGGAGAGTTGGTGAGGGGGAGGGCACGATCAAGAAATCTCGAACTGATATCCACCCAGGCCAGCCAAGTCTGCATTGATATCGAATCGGGATGTTTTTCCTGTACAATGCTTCCCACGATCCCGGAATCCTTTAATTGGTAGCAATCTAAAGGAATAACGGCACTTGTTCATCGGCTAGCCGCCTCAACTCTTGGTATAGGCCATACTATTTCAAACACCAGTACGATTCTGAATGGAAGATGAATACAAGGGCGCATCCGAGAACTGGATTGTTTAGCGGCAAAAGTTCTCGACCAATTAATTTCAGTGCTGCAGAAGAAGTGGAGTCGCTAACACAGCAGCTGGAGGAAAGTGTCTTGCATTCTGTGACCAGAGACCGAACAGGTAGTACATACATTTACATGAATGAGTTTGCTTACAAGAAGATAGGCAAAAAATGAAATTTTGTATGGTCATCTGAAGTTGAGAATTCATTCTCTGTATGGATGTGAAAGCTGCTAGATATATCTAGAACGACGAGGCTGTCCTTGACGGCATTCGGACTTTGCTTGGGCGTACTGAAGACAATGCATACCCGCTGGCCGCATCCGCTTGCGGCGAATCGATATCGACCTAACTGCGGTGTGACAAATGACGCCGACACTGTGTCAACGCAAAGTCTGAATGCAGCCCACTGATGTAATATCGACTAATTCCAATAAGCAGAATATCGGAGTAGTGAAAAAAAGGTGCATAACATCTATATAAGCTGAGGCACGGAAAAATTTCACTTGATTGGGAGGAATGAAAACGGGTATTTACCAATGATGTTTAATGAATCAGTACCTGTTCCGTCGCGATTGCTTGGAAATTTAATCAACCGAATTGCAGATTCACTAGTCTGGACGCATCCTACCTTCCTTGCTACGACATATTCGAAAATATGAAACGCTGTTTCTTCGTCGAAATACGGTACGTCCATATTATGCAGTACCCTGGAAAGACCTCCTTTCCCACAAGTTTAACCATGCTCAATATCATAAAGGAACCTTACTTCTAGATACTGCACTACATCTGCTTAATATGAAGAAAATTGGAAGTTTGCCATTAGAGTTGATGTACTCATTTTAGGCGAAAAGCTGAAGAAAAGTTCGGTGGTAAAATTGCAGTTTCTGAGCAGATACAGGACAAATCTGGAGAATTCTGAAGAAAAACCTGCCGAATGGATAGATTTCCTTTTGTTTACGTTGTCGTAATGAAGATAGAAAAACAGTTTCGAGTAAACAACAGCGCAGAGCTATGTAGGCGGACCTTCTTTAGACGAGTTTTTTCTGACAAATGTGTCCGATTGTATGAAACAAAAACGCGATTCGTGTTTGATTAGGTGGTCATCGGGCGTAGAAAAGCATGATTTTCTCAAACCTTTGAGGATGCTAGCGGCTGTCATCAATGTGCTTTTCGTTCAGGTGTTCACTGTAAGTTTTTTCCTGGTTACCTATCTCATTGGTGAGACTGATCTTTCTCAAGTAAATGGTAGAGCAAACCATCCAAATTAATAGGTACGAGCGCGAACTTGCCACCGCGGTGACCTCGCCGCGGCGACTTCGGCTAGCCGAGTCAGGACACTTTTTAGAAGGGCCTGAAACGATAAAGCCGATACTACTGCGCATGCCGCGAGCACAATGGAATTTTTAGTTAATTCATGTGGTGATGTTAAACGGCAGAAATTCGATTCCAGTGCTTGCCAAATCTTCACGATGATTGGCCTCCATACACTTTCCACTGGGAATGCTTGGATAAAAGGTAGGACTAGCACGTTATTATTTTAGAAGCTCTAGGTTCTTGTACGAGCTGCTGGACTGGATTCTACTGGTGTACCCTTAACGGCTAGATTTCCAGCAAACGCCCTGAACTACTCTGCTGTGAAGGGGCTTGCGGAAACTCCGAAAGACTGCACCGGAACAGAATACATGATGGGAATCCAAGAAGGGTTTTAATCAATCAAGGTTCTTCACATGTACGTCCACAAGACAGTTCGGGCCACATTCTGTACAAGGTGAGCCAATTCCTATGACACTTTCTCGCATTACCACGACCCCTCCTGCACTCAAGTTCTTAACGGCTTTTGGGCCATAACTTATTAGCACCTACATGAAGACATGGTTAGCCAGTCGGTATTTCTTTTCGTTTCCCGGTCCTCATTAGAAGGAGGTCCAAATGAATTCCTGAGAAATCCCACCAATAGTCTTCATTTACGACTTCTTGGCTATGGTCAGGTTTTTTTTTGTTTGACTACGAAGAAGAAAGTGAATGCAGAGTGAAACCAGTGCTGAACCTTGTCGGGCTATCGGGGGTCGAATAATCTGGAAAGCGCGGCCCTAAGTAGCAAGCGACGGACTATTCGGATCAAGTGTTTGGCTTCAAGTGGAACCTGTTCATAGTAAAAGATTGAACTTCATCTTCGAAAGCCTAAACCATCATTTCGGACCTAATTACACCTTTCAGGTTTGGAAGCGAATCGGAACATTTTCGATGATCATGTAACTGTCACGTTGACTCGATAATGATGTAGCCACAACGTAGTTGTGACTAGGTTCGATAAAAAAATACGGTAAATAAGGGGCAACACAAAAACAAACAACAAATGTCAAAGCGATAACTTCAAAAAAAAAATGTAGCAGACAAGTAGCTCATATTTTTGATGCGTCAATAATGGTGGTCCCTGCTAACCCAGGAAAGAAGAATAGGAAAGAATTGAAAACGCGAGAAAGATAGAAAACGAGCATACGAAGAAAGCGAAAAAAGGCCAGTAAGGGGTCGTAAGGTTAAAAGGACCTGTGCAGCGCTCCCCAAGAATATTGGTCACATTACCACCCCCTCTACCACACTAACATGGTTCGATTCGGATATCAGCCCTACTTTAACTTACTTTCTCTATAAGGTAGTCCCAGAAATTGGTGGTTTTCAGATGTTGACGATGACGATGAACGCCACGAAACGGAAGTATCGTCGAAATTGTCTTCGCATCGGTATGCCAGCACGCTGTTATCGGTCTAGCCATATGAGACGAACGATTGACCGAATTCCTAGAAATCTTTAGTTATATATTGAATTTTTAATCATAAAACTCGAGTAAATGTTATCTATCCAACCAACTTCTTCACAATCTTTTCAAGTATGACTCTCGGTAACTCTGGAATGGTAGGGGCTGATCGGTTCAAACTCCATATGACGAAGTCAGTAACATTTTGGGAGACTGAGCTTTTCCATTGTATAAAAACTGTGTTAAATATAAATGCTATTTGGTCAAGAAATAAACTCACAACATCCAGGATCGCTCAGCCCATCACATGCAAAAAAAGGGGTCAAGAAAAAGCGCTGACCTTGGAGTGAGCTCTAGAAGTCTCTGACAGCCAATTTGAGCTATCGAGTCATAAGTTTCTATTTTCCAGATAGTCCCTCCAATTGGCATCCTATAGCAGTAGTAAGATTCCGCATGAGAGATCTTTTTGAATTACACGTGAACTACAAGGTCGGCGAGTTGCTGACGAAATTCCTGCTTCGAACGGGATTCGAACCCACAATTGTGCTATAGGGACATCCTACCCTATCCCTTACACTACCAAAATCCCGTTTGCCCTAGCCTTCTTGATACTACCCAAATCTTTAAGGTTTTTGCTGACCTTCTCTCGTGCAGTAAATTGAAATATTAGAAAAGTTTGGTTTAACGTTCATTGACTAAGCGATCTTAGCCTTCAACTTCACTCAGGGCCTTCAAAGAAGTCGTTCCGATATAGTTCCACCTTCAAGATGAAAGCGAATCTTCATTCTCATTCGAACAACTATCGGATGCGCTTCGGAAACCTGAATTGGTCATCGGAGCTTTGCTTTGAGCTTCCTCGGAGTTTGCAATGGTGTTTCAATCACGTCAACCATGTCCGGTTCTTGCGCAGCCACTATAAATTGCTCTCCGATCGGCCCGCTATGGCTGTTACTCAACTCTTTTCGGCTACATGCCAACTTTTTCAATTTCACTTGCGTTTCCTCGATATGGCGACTGCTAAAGCTTACGGCTACTTTCAGGCCAACATCTTTGATCTCACAGCAACTGCCGATGATTGTAGAAGTTCTTGTATGTAGCATACTTGTTCGTAGTTCAATTCAGGTAAGTCTCGACGGCATTGGGAGGTCTAACAGGCTTTGTACGCCTATTTGAACCGATAACTTGCAAAAACAAAACCAGTTTCCAAAGTTATATCCCTTTAACGTTTCTATGGGAAACGACCCACTGATAAGCTTTTCAATAGTACCCAGTTTTTCTGTGGTAGTATGTCGTGAATTTGTTTTTTGTTAAATCATAAACAACCAATCATCAATCGAAAGCTTTAGAGCGGAAGCAGATGAAGTTTCAGGCTCTAGCTTATTCAATGTTTGTTTATAGACCATTAATAACCTGATGGTCTTCATTGAGGCAGAAATATCGAACCAGTTCAATCGCCAGCAAAACAAATAACCCACCGCTAAGCAGAAAGCTTTTTCAGTGTCTCACAACAGGAGTTTGTGGAGGAGGTGGTTACTGTGCACCACCCCCCGCTCTGCCCTGTCAGCCTTCGTCTTGCCAACCTGGATACAGCTGTGGGCAGTACGGTTGCGCTAGGAATCGAGCAAGAAGCGCGCTCACCAAAAAAATAGTACGTTAAGTGAAGCCCAATTTCGGAGTCACCGCTCTGAACCGTATTTTCAGGATGGGGTTTTCATCGGCGATGATTCAGAGGAGTCAACGCCACTTCCGCGGGGTCTCGACCTCGAGGAAGGTTTCATTGAAGAAAGGAACATCTATGGGATGAATCGCGCAGTGGGCAAAGCAAAACCGAGCAAACCCATCACAACTCGAGAGCTTATGGATAATGCCACCGTAGGGAAACTTATGGTAGTAAACTTCTTCTTTTTGAGACGGTATAAGATAACTCTTATTGACTTCTGTTCAGAATCCGAACTTCATCTTCCGTCAGTGCTGTGAACAGCGAGGACTTCCCGATGCATGTCTTAGCAAGTGTCACTTCAACACATACACACGGGATGCGGTCAGTTGAATCCTCTAGATTTTTTTAATCGATCCGTTTTCATAGTTGTAATGCTTTTTCCCTTTCAAAGACCTTTGACTTGGCTCCCATCGGCAGCGAGACAATTTTGGGCCCAATAGGGGAGGGGCTGGATTCGAGCTGAACGGATCCGGACTACTATAGCTAGATCCAGTTGAGTGACGTGAGTGAGTTGATGAAAGTGAATGCTAACAATCGTTCGCCCGACATACTAGCAAATGGCACAGTTCACAGAACGGTTTCCCATTAAGAGAAAAAAGGGGTGTTTCTGAAGGCTTCCAGAGTTTACAGTAAACGTTCTCAACAAAATTCAAAAAAAGTGTTCCATTGAACCGTAGGACTAGACAGCAAAAACTCACCGACCGTACTGACAACTCCATTTTCCATCTCGAAGTTTGGTTCCGAAAGGAATTGAGGAGGCTCTGCTGTTGTTGATATCAGTTGGTTTCAGCTGCAATCGATGTATTTCAAGTCAGATGGATGCCCTATTGAAGCGACTGCTGACATGCACTTTTGCGCCGCTCAAGGACGAGACCATACTGAGGTTTACCGCTTTACCTTCCTGTTTACAAAAACAATACCACACAAACAAAAAGCCAAAAGAAAAAAAAACTCATGAGAGCTCCATTCTATACATCAATTAAAATAGAAGCATTAATAATTTGCTGTAAGTTCTGAATTCATTTCAGTGTTGCCGACGGAACGGAGTGACAACTACGTTGGCCGGATACAAATGTCTGACATTCTGCGATCAGCGACCTGACAAGTGAGTTCTACGTTGACTCATTGCTTTCACACCTTCATAACTTACCCATTTACAGAATTACCAAACTAGACTACTCGTACGTTCCGTGCTATGATCGATTTGAACAAATGAAACAATGTTTCTACACTGACATCCGAGAAAAAGCACGAAGGCAGTATGGCACTCGCTAGCTGACAGCTATCTCAATGACAGAATCTCATCCCCTCTATCTGTACAACCATTTATGAAGTTTTAATAAAAATAAAGATATAACCTATTTTTAGTTGAATTTTATCAAAACTGCCCGATTGAATAGGGTGTTGCCATGTTTTTCTGGATAGATTCGATTTGGCTGGGAATTCCTGTTTTTGCATGCAGTTATGGATAACTGGAACTTCTATTAAGCAGTAATTTCAATGCATGACCAACTTTTTGGACCTCCGTACCCTAATTATACCCGTAACGAGTTCCAGATGCGATGACTAAACAAACACCCGAACAAACTAGGCTAAAGCCTGAACTACTCATTCGTTAGGGGATCGCAGCTGCAATATAGAACTGGCAGGGACAATACCCCCGGCAAAATACTTTCTATTCCTGGCTCAGTTGTTGCTGAACTCGAGTTACTCGACGCATCTCCTTAAACTCGTAGCAGCACAACCTTGCAGGCACTGACATGGTAGTCTTCAGAGAATTACCCATAATTGAGCAGGAACACCGCCGGCTTCATCACAGACTGGACGAGACCGAAATTCTAATTTCCGTGTAAAGATAATGAGACTTGGAGGGTCCGACTCCAACATTTTTCACACGCAAGAGATTCACATGGTCATAGTCAGAGGGTAGATTGTCGAAAAGACAGAAGACAATGATAGATTCTAAATATACAGCTATCTTGTAAAGACAGATAAGACATCTCACTAATCTAAGGCAAAATACGATTCTGTACCAGTTCACCTCTTTTGTTCATAGTTTAGCGGATACAGTACGACTTATACGCCACTACTCGAGGTCAATACTCGTGTGACACGTAATTTATTGTATCTGATCTTGAAACCTTCATCAAAAAAAATCTAAAATACCTATTTCAAACGACTTCAGTATTGACAACGACAGAATCAAATCCTCGCATAATGAGGAGCAAACAAAATCATACAACTCGAAAATGAGGAAACCAATTCATGTCATAGAATTGTAAGAGAATCAGTATAATTGGTAAACTAGCAAAGAACTCAAAGCGCAGCTTACGAAGCATCAAATGAGCCGGTAAAGCTGCGAACAACCTTAACAGATTTAATCAACCGGAACGGCAAGTACTGAGCAGCTAGTGATCTCTGTATAATGCGCTAATTGAACTATGTAAAAGTATACATAGGGTAGACACAAAAAAGGACCAAAACTGTCGCTAACCGGACTCCGTCACCCGCAAGCATATCACGGATGACTATCTCCATAGAATAGAAAAAATCAAGTCACTAGTATTCAGAAGCAAAATTCAAATAAAGGAAAAAGGTGAAATACGGTTTCACCGATTAGAACTAGTAGGCTCAACAACTTGGTTGTTACTTAAACGAGGATCAGCAAGGCGATTTCTGCTACGGCAGACAACAAAGAGAAAATACAGGGTTAGCAATATAAGAAGACTCAAGGCAGTACCATCGCACATCTGTGGAAAGGCATAGACGAACCCCCAAACAGCAACGAATTGTCCTGAATAATCATGATTAGGTGAGGTCAAGAAATACCGACTACACAGCTACCAAATTCAAACACATGCGCAGAAACCAACTCAAGCCATATAGTGATGACATGAGCTCTTCGTTTCTTTTAGAGCTCTGCCTCTCTTCAACCTATGCAGCATAAGATCCTAAGATTCTTTCTCTGTTCATTTAAATAGATGGAGCTGCTATTCTAAGCTGCTTCTGGCACTCGAAATTATTTTGGGATAATCGAACAGAAGCAATATTTCTCTCAGAGGATTTGAAGCGTTGAGAGGTAGCTGTTCAGTGTGGTTCCGAAAGAGGCTTTCCTAATATATCAACTAACCTGCGAAAATCCAAAGAAGGTAATCTCCAAGACACAATGGCTGCGGCTGTGCCCTGGCTGCTGCATCTGCTGCACGATCTAGAGGTGAAATGCCATCATCACGAGAAGGTCCAAAGATCGCATTGTAAGCCCTGAAAGAAGCGAAATGGAAATAAGAGGAGGAAACGCAAGCGTTAAAAATACCTGACAAAAGCAACGCATTACTATTTATAATCTAGGTATGAAAATATAGGAGAAGCTTCTACAGTATGCATATCATGATCCTCGAGTTCGTTAGAAACCATATAGCAGCGAAGAACTGAGGAAACGACACTAAGGTCATCGAAATCCAGTCCGAAAGAAGAGACCATAAAAAGGTGCTTAAGCTTCAAGAAATTCGGAATGAACTTCAAAAGAAGTAAAGAAGTGTTTAGTGCGCCGAAAATCAAGACATCAGATAAAATTCAAAACATTATCGTCTAGCGTGAAATAAAGGAAGAATTAATTTATGCTTATTACTGCTCCTACGCCGAACGAAATGGTGCAATAAAATCGCCGAATTCCAACAAAAAATACCTTTGGTAGGTACGACGAAAGACTCCTGGTTCCGCTGAAGGTGCCATCTGCCTATCAAACATAAATCGAATTATGGCATCCAACGGTACACCAATCAGAGGAAACCGATAAGTGTACAGTAGTACAGCAACCGCCCAACGTGGATAACGAAATTCTGAAGCAGCGATTGTTACCCCTCGAGTAGGTTTTAGAGAATAACAAGCGGCTTTTTCAGCCGCAATGACTAAAGTGAAACCTTGCGCTTCGGGGTTTGCATTGGACGTGGAAGGTGCATTGTTGGGAGCGGCGTCTCGATGTCTCAATCCAGAGGAGTAGGACACTGGCACCGAAGTAGATGGGGCCTAAAACAAGTAATAACGATATTGGAGGTATTGTGTAAAAATAATTGTAAAACCGCTTTACATGTCTAGCGTATGGAGTATTACTGATATGGCAATGAACTACGCATCCGTCGCGAAGACCGTAAGATGCTAACGTTCTCGAATCTTCCCGTAGTAGTTGTCCTGAACATTTAGTTCTCTCGATTGATAGAAGGTGAACCGAGCACTGGCAGGAAACTTGCAAGTTAAAGTTTTCGTAACAGCGGAAACCGCTCTAAATTTGACAACACAAACACAAGACGGAAACGAACTGACCTTGGTAGATTAACCTCACAACCCGGCCAGCAGCGACAGCATCACCAAAGTGAACACTGGAAATATTCATAGATCCGTTATTGAAAGAATAACAAAAGGTACTGTTAGTGAAACACTTATTCAACCTCTTGAATTTTCCAATCGTATCAGTCATGGTAGTGCGGGCATCCCTTTGAGTATCGTCGAGAAATTTGAGGCGAATCACCGAATCTCCTTCCGCTTCAACGGAACTATTTCCATGATCTTCTTCTTCTTCATGTTTTTCTATAGAAGTTTCACATGGATATGAAAGATAAGGAAGAGAGTTCCGTCCATCAAAAAAAAACCTTCGATATTTGAACAGACATTACCTTCTCCACTGGGGCATTGTGAAGTGTTGGTTGAACCACTATNTTTTCTATAGAAGTTTCACGTGGATATGAAAGATAAGAAAGAGAGTTCCGCCCATCAAAAAAAACCTTCGATATTTGAACAGACATTACCTTCTCCACTGGGGCATTGTGAAGTGTTGGTTGAACCACTATCCTGCTGCTGAGCGGCGGTTGTGTTGTTACCAGAACCTCCTTGATCCTGGGCCTGGAGTTTATGTATGATTGTTCAATTCTTTAAAAAAAATTGTAAATTTTTCAAATATGTAAATTTGAACCACGAACTTGATTGCGCTCCGGTTCATCATTAACGACGCTGATATTCACCGGCATGACTATACTCGTTGTGCCGTGGGAACGTTGGCTCGTATCGTTGCTATTCTCACCAATAACGGAGGATACACCAACCGCTGATATACTGGGTATACCGGGAACAACATCCATTGTTCCCGACGATGTTGCTTGGAAACCACTGCAAAGCAATTTTACTCATTTTTTGTTTGAATACAGTCAATAAGAAATACGTTCCGCTATTTGAAAATGATAAAGATCATGGGACGATGGCTAATTATCAAAATAACAACTGATGCTTACGTATGATCAGAACATGGCAACTCAGATGAGCTTCAGAAGAAAGTAACACCCATCTTACCATGAAAAAATTCTTCAATGAGAACTAAGCATTGCAAAAAATAGCGTCTTCTCTTTGTCTTAGCTAGTCATTTACCATAACGGCTAGTCTTCTAGTCATAAAGTGAGATTGAAAGCCCACCCTCGTCCCAATACTGCGATGGCAGCAGCTGCGGCAAAATGGCTTTCATGCGACACGTCACTTCCTCCACCGGAAGTTGCCACCGGCATTTCGATTTCCCAAAGCGTGGACGAAGAAGGTGAAGGAATGCTGAAACTCTAATAGTCAACAGTCATCAAACAATATGTAAAAAGCTTCGTCCACGCTTTGGTATCTTATGCTTATTAGTACGCTACACTATGTGGGGCACTAAAAATAAAAGTACCTTGCAGTTGATTCGTCCATCACCGTAGCAGGTGATTGTATAACAACATTGGTGTCGAACGCGACTGGGGCTTCAGTTGATGAATCGTTTGTATTTGTTTGGACTTGTGAACGCGCCCGTGACCGCATACGTGCCATCACCTCACTCCATGAACCGAGTGGACGGAACTCTTGACCCAACTGTAGTACCTGAACAGAGAAAAGTGAACGAATGGAAAATGGTTAACAACAACCATCTGAGGATATTTGATGAAAAAATCCAAAGCAGATTGCAATAACTATATAAATAACGTCAAAGTTTGGTGTATAAACCACAGCACTGGGAAAATGCAGCTGACTGTGATAATTTGCCTCTTTAAACATCTTTCAATCTGAACACAACACAGTTTGTTGAAAGACTAATTGAATAACCATCTCATAACTTTGTTACTTTTCTGTTACCTCTTTACAGTTCATAAAGAAAATACTAGGACAGGAAACAAGAAAGTAAGGTGTTGCGCTTTCATACAAGCGAACAGGAGATAGATTTATCTAGCAATATTAAATATTTCTTTATATATCTTAACGATATTGTTACCTGTACAAATCTTCTGGCACCCCATGAATGTATTTCAACTAGAAATAGATCATAAAACAGCGGTCGTCGACCAGTTAGCCTCCAGGCACTGACAAAAATAGATAATGCAGCTATTGACAGCGTAATGACAAAAAACGCTGTCACAACCTGAAAAAAGTATAGCACATCAGAGCATTTTGCGGGAGCCACTAATTCTCCAAAATATCTTTCGGAATTCACAAAACCAGCCGGGTGCATAGACACAAGGTTGTAGTGATAATTTTGCCCTTTATCACATCTGCTCTTCACTGCCCCTCCCTGTGATGCTTTTACCAGGATGCTATAAATGAGGAAGCGTGTATGAAGGAAAATGTCGCGTGTACAGGAGATGGCAGAGCTACTGGTGATAATGGGAAAAACATATACCCTAAAATTCCATAGATAAGAGCGGGTGAGCCTACCGGTGAAAAATGAATTGGAAAAAATCGAATTTGAATGCAGTCACCCCTCTNACTTGATGGATGGGTAAATTAAACCTCGAGGAAGAAGTTAAGAAGAAGCTCCGCCCCCCAACTCAAAACCCCGCCCACTTAATAATCAATTCATATAGAAAAACAGCGATTTTTACGGATCGCTGTTTTTTTTATATGAATTGGCAGTATTCACAAAAGCTACCTGACTTTCGTACTTTCACCCAAACCAATCCGTACTACACTCAGAGAAAGGCGGCCAGCAAAAAGTGAAAATACGCACAATGCGTGTCCTTTGTACTAATGCTTCTCGAATTGAATACGATCTAATTTTACGGTGATGTAGAACTTCGAAATGTTCTTTTTTTTTCGGAAAGCATACGGATGTGACCCTTTTTAAACACTGAGTTTTGCAGAACAGCAACTTCGAAGGACCAGAAAACGATCAACTCGAAGACGCTTACACAGCACAAATCAATTCCCCGCAATTTCTAAAAACTATGAACAGATGATTCACTAATCTATTGCGTTCACCGTCTCATACTCTAAGGACCGCCCATTGGCCAGCAATTCTCAATAACAAAATCGAGACCAAAAAAAGCATGTCTAGTGCTTTTCATTCGATCCGTAACATTAAAAGAATTTCTTTCCACATGTTTCGTGGAAATATCTTCATTGCAGCTGTTCACACGCCTCATATTTGACGTACCTTCTGTCCGTCACCTGTAAAGCGAGGGAACAGCTGAAATTGAGTCACAGGAGCTAGCTTCCTACTGACTTTCAAAGGATACTTTTAGAAAAAAAAATCAAACATATTTGTTCTAGAAAGACAGTTCCGAAAACTAGTGGCTCGAACATAGAAACTGTAAAGCTTTCCTCACCTCACTGCCGATGCCTTCAATTTCAAGCATTCCCGAGAACGGGAGCTTGAGCTTCTCGGCAAACCTATAATTTATTGAATTCAGACTTGAAAGTCGCCATTAAAGAAGGAAAGTTGTCAAGTTTCAACCGTACAACATAACAAATCTATGAGCCAATAAGAAAAAGCATAGATACCAAAAACGAGAAGTTGGCACTGTTTAAATTTTCAGGTCCTGCTAACTTTCCCCCTAATTTTCGCAGTACTGAAGTTCTTTTTGGTACCCTCAGCAACTACAAACAAACGAGAATTCATTAGGAGTTTATAGGAGAACAAGAAATTTTCGAAAATATGGCAGTGCGAGGTACGCCAGGGAACGTGAAGTATGACGACATAAATGACCCAAGACAAGAGGAGTGGAACACATGATGATATGCAGTATTGATCGGAAGAAACGCATGAACCCGTTGACGTCGCACCATCTCGTCCACCCCGTCATGTCCTGCGGCCGTACAGCTGCTTGAATTTAGTTCAAGCGGCTGCATGGAGCAACGTAGCGGTTTCATTTTAGAGCATGACAACTACACTGTCCTACTTGTCTGGGTAGTCCTTTTCCTGCAACCCAATTCGATTTCGTGTGACTTACTATTACTGATTACCTCATTTATTAGGGTGCTATAATAATGAGTATTTTCACGAGGAGCACGCCTTCGAGTCTAATCGGGTTTGCCCTTAACACAGCATTAAAATGAGAATTCTCTACGACTTTACAAAGTATAGGATTCTCCTACGGAAGCACTAAGCTCTTTTTTGAGGGGGTTAATTTTCCGAGCTTCAGTAGCTGGTAAACTAACAGAACCTAGAGATGGTTGAGCTACTATACTGTAGCTCAGACCTTGTCCCAGTTCTTCCTAATTGCACACTGGGAATTTTATCCACATCATAAACTTCACGAGAAGAACTTCATGTACTCCTCAATCAGTTCATACGATTTGTCGGTCTTGGTTCTCTGTGTGCTATGAATTAACTACATTTGTTAATGTTCCTAACATTCATCGGCCAACGGTAACAAGCTAACAATGGATTCATAGAAATTTCTCATTTGTAGGTTTGAAAGAAAATAAAAACTTCTTAACTCAAAAAAAAACCTTTGAAAAATCACAACAAATGTAACAGTAACAGAAGCAATGAAAACACAACAAGAAGTAAAAATGATTCTAAGCATAATTTTAAACATTTATAGTTTTGAACACATTAAATCCATCCAATGATGTTGTAGCAGCAAGTCCGTTCAGAAGAGGATGCCAGTGTACTTCTTTTACCTGAAAAGGAACATCCCTTTGTAGCTCTAACGAGTTTTCATCGTGTGAACGAGGTTGACATTTAGAAATGCTCTATCAGCTTGAACGCTCTATCATATTGTGACTGAATTAATGACATACTTCCTTCTGCCCAAGATGTAAGAACATTAACTGTGGAGGAACGCCCTCAACAGATTCTTGTGAATCAGGTTCAACTGCAATGTCCCAAATAGTGACTTGGTCATCCTCTCCAGAAGCCATAAATGTAGTGGACTCCTGAGCGACAACAATGTAAGGAAACTCAATTACCACAATCCATGAAGCAATTAGCACAAACAAAAACCTGCGGCATCCACTCCACCGAAGTGATAGGTCCTGAGTGATATTTGAACCGAGCAACAGGTTGACCAAACTGAAGAATGAATAGCAAAAATGCCAGAACCTTCAACGTATGGACCATTTACTGATGTCTTGACTATTAGGACAAAATATCCTTACTATGTATAAAGCGCTCGAGTCTGTCTGTCCGTCTGTCTATTTGTACGGAAATTCGATATCACCTGATAAAGTACCTGCAGAAGTTTAAGCCTATGGGCGGTCGTGGACATAGAATGTATGCATAGCCCAACTGGTGAAATTAATAAATCAACTAGTTCGCTTTTATCATATAACATCACCGACTATCTATCTATTCGTGATTACCACCGAACGAGCAACAATGCGAATTCTATGAAGATTTACTATCCAAGCCTAGCCTTCTTTGTGGAAAGTCACAAGGCATATCAGCAATCAATGCACAGACTCGAGCACAATGGCCGAGGCATCAAAATCAACTCTATCCGGAATCTTTAACGCCTAGTTTGCAAGCAATCAAGATACCTGTATTGTTTTCAGGGACCAGATCCTCAACTCGGCGTCATCTCCACCCGTCACCAATAGTGGTTCATGTGAGTTCCAGGATATAACATTTACATCGGAGCTGTGAGCCTAAAAATGATATCGCATACAAAATGGCTAATGATAAAAGAGGAATATTTAATAAAGTTCATAAAGAACAAACGCACAAGTGAAACAGTGTGAGCTTAAAGATACCTTTTCTACAGTGCACACACAGGCATCTGCTGGACTAGCGCGTGTGTCCCAAAGCTTGATAGTTCCATCACAGGAACACGAAGCAAGCAAACCTTCTTCTGTAGGAGACCAATGGACATCTTCTACGGATCCTATAAAATGTTTTTACGAAATTAAGTATTGAAGTTTCATTGCTAGACAGATAGGGAAAAACTTTTTTCAGTTCTAGCTCCAAATATTTATGTACCAATGACATTAACCTCTTCAATCCTCTTTTATCCAATTACCTCAATAGTACAGCTATTACAGCGTTAAACCTTTTTGATGGATACGTAATAACCTTCCAACTAAAGAATAGCAAAATAGTTCGAGAGACCGTCAGTAGACGTTCTAGCATTCGTCTAACGATTTCAGCACAAAGTTCTGCAACCAAGGCTCACCTGAATGACTGTTGAGAGCACGTTGATCGACAACCCATGTTCCACCTTCATGCATTCTGTATATATGGATGTTTCGGGCTTGGTCCCCAGAAGCAAAATCTCCCTTGAATACGTAATAAATTAACAGCTGAAAGAATCGTTCAACTTAAACAGAGCTTTTAGAAGCACCTGTTTGAGCTTCGACCAGTCAAGTGCGAATCCTTCCTTCTTTGTTATGTAGGAGAAAAGAGGTTTTTCCTTGAAAGAAAAAGACCTTCAACTCAAAGTAACAACGCATCGCATAATTTATCCTTAGGGTTAATATCTTGAAGATCATGCCCCCGGAACGAAGTTGAGAACAGAAATGGAGACTGAACGAGGAATATCAAGAAAAAGACTCATTATATGCTAATTGAATGTAGTTTGAGGCAAATAAACTTATATAACTTCGTCCTCAAGGGCAGAAACGAGCACTACTTTAGTATAATCTGAAACTATGCATCCCTTTCACTGATAAAACAAATTGAGCTCACTTGAATCTGCTTTTCCTCTTTGCCTTTAGTTGACATATTGACGCATTCCTTCACGGCATTCGTTAAATTCCAAAGCTGTACTTTTCCAATATCATTCCACACAGCGCATACTGTTCCGTCACCGAGACGTTGAGCCTTCAAGCAGAAGAAAGTGGGGCAAGAAGCTTCAACCGAATCTCTTCATGACGATCGGAAATTAGATTAGAAGCAACAGAGTAACAGTTCAATATACTGGAGAAGTGGTACAGGCACAACAAGGGTCTTGAGGTCGATTAAACTGCTGCGAACCAATTTTCTAATGCAGTTTTAGAACACAGAAACAGACGAACAATACTTCGAGCGAGAACTTTTCATCAGTACCAAAGGCTAGAAGGTTCATATAAGACTATGGTGGCGAAGTTTTTTTCTAGTCCATGAAATAAATTTATAATGATGAAAAAGGCCGAACCTTTATTCGATTAACTCCACCGTAGTGAGACACCGAAACGGAATGGAATATTGCTTCTTTTTTGGAATCACTATCATCGTCGCTATCGTCGTCACTCAACTCATCTTCATCTTCATCGTCGTCATCCTGATGGTGAAAAGACTATGCTATTCAGACATTTTGAACAATATTACAATAAGAGCTTGAACATCGAGATCGGATTCATGAACAACATCCACTTATAAACACTTTTACTTAACAATATATGAAAGTGATTAGGAATTAGAAACGAACCTCTAACAGATTAAGATTCTTAAGTCCCATTATGGTAAGCTCATTGTTCTTGGGCTTGTCGGCTTGAGTTCCAGCCACAATATAGCACTTCAGGGGAAGGTCCGTAACTGGGTCATCCTCCCTGACAAAGTCGAAAGAGAGACACGACCATTCTGAATAAGTATAATATAATACGCATGAACTAAAAATGTCGAATTAACTTAATAACACAGCTATGATTCAATCAGCTGACTACTTAAACTTGTTCTACGTCATATTCTTCAATTCAAGAAGAATTAGATTACCTGGTAACAAATGTACCCGCTTGGTCTGCAACCCTATTCGTGACACTGCGGAAGAGTTGTGCTCGTTAGCTGTGGAATTGAGGAAAAAAAGAAAGATGAACAAACATAGACTCACTAGTTTCAAACGAATAGAATATTTTGTATGCTCCAGGATCAAAGTCGAGTTCTTCGCCTTCTTTTAAAGCTCGGCTAACACCGGGAATGTAAACCTACAATATCATTTATGATCACTGTTCATGACACGTGCTTAGATATCCGATTCATTAAAATTGATTGTATCTCAATAACACTTGACAGTCTAAAAACGGGTATAAGATTTTGGGTTATGGAAAAAGAATGTGAGAAAAAAAACCCGATAGTGAAAGTAATGTCTAGAGATCGTCGACATGGTCATAGAAAATTTGATATTGGAAAGAAAGAACTGGTTAAAACATGTGATAAACCCCCAAATACCATAAAAAAAAACTTAGTTGCTTTAGGTAAGTGCTTATTGAATATCCTATGAATCACCTGTTTCGCACCCTTTGAAGACGCTTCAGGTTCCTCAACCTCCATTCCATTGTCAACTGACTCATCGTCGTCCATTGCAGAGGTAACCTCAACAGGCGAAACTTCTGACCACTTCAACTAGTATAAAGGAAATGGTGAAATTAGGGAGACGGTACATTCGTGCGATTCGAGCTGTGCGCGGCGAAATTCATGCTGTTTTAAACGACTCTGGCGATTATTATTGCGGCACAAACTTGAAGTAGAGTACTTTAGTAGAGTTGGACAATCCTGCTAACCTACTTCACTTCAAATTTGGGCCCCAATGATAGCCTCCAGAGTCGTTTAAACCACCACGAATTTCGCCGCGCAATTTGCCGCGCGCAGCCCGAATCGCACGAATGTACACACACCCGTGAAATTACGATAAGTAAAAAAATACCATGAGTCTCTTGTGCAATTGCGTACAGCTGAAGACTACCGTAACGACATTTATGAGGGTTCCTTTGTGGCCCGTATGCATAACGCCCGGGGTAGGGGAGGGAGAGGAAGTGTTTGTTTTCGCCGTGGGTCAGGTAAGTGACGCTGGAGCGCAGTATTTTACGCCTCAAAGACAGTGTTAAATTGATATCCGAAGCTCTATTTCTCGATTATATGAACCGGAATTTGGAGAGAGTGTGGATTTTTGCCAAGGAAAAGCACTCTACCAAAGTGGAGGGGAGTTTTACTCTGAGAACGCCCAAGGAAGTAGCAAAAGGTTAGTATGTTCTACGAAATGCATTTTTAGGGTTGTGGAAACTTAGGAACGCGCATCCAGTTATCGTGCACCTATTGCAAAAAGACCTTAATTAAATGCGAATATTCGAATGTTATAGTACTGCTCCTATACCTCTATTAATTGTGTAAAAAATAATTAACTGTAGAGAACAGTAACAAAGTGAAGCATCTAGAGAAAATGTCACAAATCAATCAAATTTGTATACCAGATGTCAGATGAATAGATGGATTGTGTTAAGAAGTTCGTAAAAAGTCTTCAAATATCGTTGGGCGGGAGAGTTGGGCTAGTTCCCGTTTTTATAGAGCTTTTCTTAAAGACCAACTTCAGCACTATGAGGAGAGGTCATTAGAACCAAACAAGCACCAATCACTTCCATAGTAATTAATGGATACGTACCAGTTCCTTCACTTTCCAACCTTTACNCGACAGGAGTACTCGGGAGTACAAAGATTAAAATGTCATAGGATATGAAATATCATACCAATCAACCGAAAAACTACTTACGAGTTGCTGACAAATAATTTCGGTTTCCTTCTTAAATCACACCAGGATCGTGATGCAATATGCTCACGATAACTGGTGTAAGTCTAGAAAGAAAAACCTGTATATTTGAAAAATAAACTGCTCTACAGCAACGACGTCAACAATTTAAATAAATTAGTGGTTGGTTGCAGCAGTAGAATAAAATCAGAGCAATACTTGACGAATTCGGCAGCAGAAGTCAGAGGAATAAGCGCTCAGTCGAATAATGTAGTGAATAGCAGAGTTGCGGTCTACATGACCATCGGCGCCCCAG